GGGATAGTCTCTGCTTTTGGGTAGCTCGCAATCTAATGGGAGAGACAACATACAAACAAGCTATGTACAGGATGAATAGGAAATAATTCATTTGGGGGAGGTTAGAATTAAGAGAGATCAGGAAAAACTTCCAGTAGAAGGTAGGATTTTAGCTGGAACCTGAAGGAAGCCAGGGAAATCAGAAGGTAGAGATGATGAGTATAGCATTTCAGGCATGGGGAATAGCCCATGAAAATGATCAGAATTAGGAGATAGGGGTATCATGTTTAAGGAACATTGAAAAGAGTGGAGACATTTTAGGCACTTTATTTGTATAATTCTACCTTAGATTCCATAATGGTTGTATAAATTCACAGATACATCAACAATGCACCAGTGTGCCTGTCTTCCCACAACTCCTTCTATTGCCATCTTTTGTCATTTTTGCCAATTTTCAGGGTGTGAGGGTCATTTTGATTTGCATATCTCTTACTATTAGTGATTTGGAGCGTTCTTTCATATGGTTGTTAATACTTCGCAATTCTTCTTTAGAGAACTGTTTCTATGTGTTGTATAAATATACATACATATACATACACACTTATATGTATTTATGTTTACTTATATACACACACATATATCTGTAAAACTCTTTCAAATTAATTCTTATTGAATATTTAATAGAATTCATTTGTAAATCCTGGGGTTTTTTCTTTTGGGAGTTCATTTAAGTTCAACTCCTTCTGATATTGAGTTTAATTCAATTCTTTACTTCTTATTCTTTTCAACTAGGTATTCTGTATTTTTATAAATATTCATTCATCTTATATACCAGTTTTGTTGGACTGTATAGAGGCAAAATTATTTCTATTAAATAATTACCTTTATTTTTTCTTCATTTGTTGTTATTTTTTTTTTCATTTTTGATCCTGACAATTTAATTTTCCTCCCTCTTAAAATTCTGTTAGCTTACAGTTAATCTGCTTTGTTGTTGTGGTTTTTTTTAACCAACCAAAACAGCTCCCAGTTTTATTAATGTCTTCTTTGATTTTCAGAATTTTTATTTTTGTCTTGAGATTTTGTGTTATAGTTTTTTAGTTGAATGTTATATTCAGTGATCTATTCTTTGTTTTTATTAGTGTTTAGAGATATAAATTTTCTCCTAAGGGCTACTTTGGCTCCATCCCAAAAGTTTGATGTTATCTGTTTTCCTTTCATAAAATTAAGTACTATCTCTAAGATTTCTTCTTTGACCCAGTAATTCTTAAGTATTAAATTAGTCCTCACTTATTGGGGTGGAGCCAGATATGTTTCTATACCAAAATCTGCATATGTATGTGTTCAGTACTCCTTTGTACAGCTCAAGTAAAAGTTCATTGTCCATTCTTCCTCCCTACTTCATGATTTTATCTCCTTCTTAAAACCATACCCTACCCCAGGGGTGGAGAACCTTCAGCCACATGTGGCCCTCTAGGTCCTCAAGTATGGCCCTTTGACTGAATCCAAACTTCACAGAACAAATCCTCTTAACAAAAAGATTTGTTCTGTAAAACTTGGACTCAGTCAAAAGGCTGCACCCAAGCACCTAGAAGGCCACATGTGACCTCAAGGCTGCACTTTCCCTAACCTTGCCCTAGCCTTATGTCTCTCTTAACTCTCCTTCTGTGACACTTAATGATAATGGAATTCTGAATGGAGATTTGTCTCTTTTCTTCCTCTTAGTAAACATTTCAATATCACATAACCCTTTCTAGTTGCTTAAATCTTTCTGGTTTTGTCTTCACTTCTGCATTCCCAGCTCTTGTCTTTTCATCAGGAAACCTTGACATTTCTGCTCAACTCAGGTCTTTTTATCTGAAATTCTTGAAAGTCCCTGCTCTATTAAAGGTCCATTTTCCCCCCCCATAAGATTATACTCAGTCTTTTAGGGTGGGTTATACTTGGTTGTAAGCCTTTTTAAAAATTGCATTCTTTCCAAGATTTTTCTCCCCTTTATAGTAATTGCAGAAAAGTCTTGTATAATCATAGTTCCTTGGTAATTACACTTTTTTTTCTGTCTAAAGTATTTTTTTAAGAAGTTCTGGATTTTGGCTCTGATGTTTTCATTTTGGAGTTTCAGGAAGGGATTGGTAGATTCTTTCACTTTTCACATTACTCTCTGCTTTTAATAGATCTGGGCAGTTTTATTTTGTGATTTCTTAAATAAGGTATCCAGATTTTTTATTTGGTCGTGGTTTTCAGGAAGTCTGATGATTGTTAAACTCTTTCTTCCTGACTTGCTTTCCTGGCCAGTTGTTTTTAATAGTAGATACCTTATATTTTTTTTTCTTTTTTTTTTCATTATTTTGACTTTGTTCAGATATTTCTTGTTGTCACATTGAGTCATTGAGTTCTGTTTGCTTCATTCTATTTTTTAGGGCATCCACTACTTCGGCAAGGTTTTCCCCTTTTGTATGAGGGAGTTTATACTGGCCTCCCTAATGCACCTCCTCTCCTGCCTCTACCAACTACTAGGTGGTTTACCTGAGTTTGAGCTGGCTTCCCTAGGACAACTCCCTACCCCCTTCCTCACTTCCACGGGCTTCCACATTTACCTATACTTGTGTTGTGTTCCATGGTGAGATCCCTCTACTTGCGTCTGTCAGCTTCTGGCCATCTTTTGTTCAGTTCTGGATGAAAGCATTTACTTCTGATTCTTTACAGTTTTTTAGTTTTGTTAACTTTAATTAAATCCTTGGTTTATTTAGATTCTTTTCAAATATTCACTAGGGCTTATGTCGATGAGCTATTAGTAACCATCTTACCTGGAAATCTCCATTATAGGTTATCTTTCAAATGCACAAAATCTACATTTTAAAGTGGAAATCAAATGTTTTCTGTCTAAATTCAGTTTGACATTTATTAACTGTCTTCTATATGTAAGGCACCAGGAATATAAAAATAAAAAACTGCACTACCACTGTCCTTGAGCAAATGTGTATAATATAAGGTAGAACATGAAAAGGGAAAATAGAGATCCAGGTAAATGTTCCAGGTCATTTTGAAAAGAAAAAAAATGCTTTGAGTTGTTGATTAAGGCAAGCTTTAGGAAGAGTTAGCACTTGAAGGAAGAGAATAATTCCAACAGGCAAAGATGAAGCCAGTGGGATGATCTGCAGGGCTGCATTAAGTAGAAGATAAGACAGGGATAGGGGAAAGCCAGCATTTCAAATGTGTGAATGGGTATAATGTGAAATTAACTGGAAAGGTAGGTTGGAGTCACATTATAGTTGGTCTTAAATAGCAAGTAGGAGAGCTTGCATTTTATGCTAAAGGACATAGAGAGCCACTAAAGATTTTTGAGTAGGGGAATGATATGATCTAATTGGGGCAGCTAGCTGGCTTAGTGGATGGAGTGCTAGACCTAGAGTCGAGAAGACCTAAGTTCATCTCTTTCCCAGACACTTACAAGTTATGTGACCCTGGGCAAGTCACATAACCTCTGTTTGCCTTAATCCATTGGAGAAGGAAATGGCAAACCTCTCCAATATTTTTGCCAAGAAAACCCCATAGACAGTATTGGTCTGCTGTGGTCCATGGAGTCACAAAGAATTGGTTGTGGCTGAATGTCTGGACAGCAACAATAACAATCTGTGCTTTAAAAGGATTATTTTGACAGCTGTGTGGAGAACGTATCAGAGAGAAGTATTGGAGGCAAATAAAATAGTCAAGGTTTGATTTAATGAAGGACTAGTTTAGTTTTGTGAATGGATAGAAAGGGACATATAGAAAAAAATGTTGTGGAGGTAGAATTAATAGACCTTGACCATTGACTGGATGTGAAAAGGGAAGGAGGGAAGAGTTAAAATGAAGGGGGTTTCAGTTGTGATTGAGGAGGAGGATGGTAATGCCATTAACAGTAACAGGGCACTTAGAAAGAGGGTTAAGTTTTGAGATTAAGATGTTCAGTTTGCGACATCCAGGTCAAGATTTCTAGAAGGCAGTTGAAAATGTAGGACTCAAATTTAAAGACAAAATTGGAACTGGGTATACAAATTAATTTGTCATCTGCATTCTGTTGGGTGTGGGGTAGGAAAAGAAGGTAGAGGAGAGAAATATTTAGAAAAATATCAGGAAAGAGTACAAATGTCTTGTTCTTTCTAGTAATGATACGGTATTTTTAATGTTTTTGTGTACTTGTGCCCACTTAATTCTTCAGTTTAAAAAAAAAACCTTGATGTAACAAAGCTTGAATGATTTACATTATTATTTCAAAGGGGACAGAAGGATCAGTGGATATAGGGCATGAGCAACTGAAAATAGGAACCAAGAACTCAAGAAAAGGGCAAAGTTAGGTCAGCAGGGACAGAGAAAGGGACAAAATTTTTAGAGAAAAAAATGGAGCTTTCTGGGTTATTTAAGTTCTCCTTTGGCAAGTGGAATCAAATGCTTGGATAAAAATTTAAAAGGAAATAAATAAACTCAGTCAATCAAGTATCCTGAGCTTAGATTTTTTACTGCTTCACTTCCATCGCTTCATCTTGTGGTTTGCCACTTCAAACATATATAAAACTGCATATTGTCAAAGCCAACATCTATAAAAAATTAGCGGTCTTGCTTAAATTGGGAGCGTTTAAATGACAAGACTCTTAGGATGTGTTTGTTTGGGGAGGGGTGAAATACCCACACACATAACGTATAATTGTATATGGGACAGTTTAAATCAGCCAAAAACTGAAGCATTCAAACCCAGCATAGTCAGCTGTGTTAAATTTTACTTTGAATAATATGGAAGAGAAATGAGGTAATTCTTCTTACCTTAACACACTTTCCAAAATTTGAGAGTATGGCACATATTTAGGAATCAACTAGAAATTTGTCCTTTACCTAGGTTTTAGGGTTGTATCTTTAGGAGTTTTGTAAAATACAGAATAACAATAATAGGACTAGGTAATGATTTCAGCTAATGCTATTTGAAGTGTTAGGTGTTTTTTCTTACATCTTATTATCTTTTTCCTCTTGATTATTTCACTGAATTAAAGGGGCAGAAAAGTACAGAAAGAAGGAAAAATAAGCTATGCTGATTTTGTCTGGTTTTTGATATCTGAAGAAGACAAAAAAACTCCAACCAGGTATTTTATTTTTATTTTGTGATATATTTAAAAGATATATTCTGTATGATTTGTTTTGTGGATAATTGATAGCCATTTGGTTACTTGCTTTTTATAGTGTTTGGGGAAGACCATCTTCTTTACCATTAACATGTCTATAATTTCAGTATTGAATATTGGTTCCGCTGCATGGATCTTGATGGAGATGGAGCATTATCAATGTATGAGCTGGAATATTTCTATGAAGAACAGTGCCAAAAACTGGATAATATGGCTATTGAGCCTCTACCATTTGAAGATTGTCTTTGTCAGATGTTAGATCTTGTGAAACCACAACGTGAAGGTAGTGTTATCTTCCTGTATCCTCATTAATTTTAGAGTTGTCACATCCTTTGTTTGGCAGCTATACACAAGGATAATGCCTTACTATTGCCAGAAAGTTCATAAATTCATGGCTTATCCATAAGCATAGACTCAAATAAGAACTCAGCTAAAATAAGTTATATAATCACTTGTGTTACTCCTCCTTACCTCCACTTCATAGAGTGCCTCATTTCCTTCAGAATTCAGCTTACAACAGCATGCCACTTTCTACATGAAGTCATTCTTCATCCCTTTCCCAGCCCTAGATCAGCCCTTCCTCCCCCATTACTGTTTGTACATACTTTCTTTACCCATATAATTGCTTTCTTTCTAAAAAGAATCAAAACTCCTATTGGCAGGAACCTTTTCATTCTGTCCTTGCATCTCCAGTCCTAATGCCTGGCACCTGTTTGATAACTGTTTTCTGATTGATTGACATGGAAATAACAGATCACAAAATTACCCTTGGAATTTGAAAATGGGGCATAAGTAGGTAAAGGAGATGGCCCTGCAAGGTCCAAGTGGGCAGGCCCAGCCTCCTAGAAAATGCCATGGTTCCAAAGGAGTACTCAGGAAAGAGTGCTTTTATAACCACAGCTGACTATTTTAAGCCTGGGGTGGATGAACAGCTGTTCTTTCCTGCAAATGACTGCCTAAATCTCATTGGGAGGCATTTAAACTTTAAAGATCCTTTGGTCTCTTAATCTTATAGCTGGCACACTGCAGTAATGACATAGCAAATAAAAGTCTTATTAAAATTTGGGGTACACCCTGACAGGTCTAAGCAACTTGGAACCTAAGAAAGTATTTAAAATAACTATTGTTTCCAGGAACCTAGAAAGTTCAGAAACGGAGACAGGAGACAGGATAAGGATGAGGATGAGGCTAAGAGGTTGGGAAGCCAGCTTTGAAAGAGAAAAAAAGTCTATCTTCCACCTTCACATATCTGTTTTAGAAAGAACTAGCCAAACTTTCTATTATTTTTATAGTTAAAAACTAAATATAGTCATGTAATATAAACCTCTCAAAAAGATTTGAAAAAACTAGCTAACAATTTTGTCTTAAACATAAACTATCAAATATTATGGATATTTTATATAATTGTTCCAGTTTGCCACTAATCTGCTATCTTGGGACTAAATATGCAGTCATTCTTTAGGTTTATAAAGATTTTTCACTGATAACTTTGAGAGTAAGGCAGCTTTCCAAGACTGTATTTGCAGAGAAAGAAGTAGAGGGAGTTTGCTTACCCTGGTAGTTACCTGTACCAATGAAATCAGTTTTGATGCCTGTCTCTCTCCTAAATAATCACCAGGAAATGTACAAGAGGAGGAAGGAAAGAAAGAAATAAGTATTAAGTACTTGTGTGCTAGGCCTTGCGCTAAGCACTTTACAAATGTTATCTCATTTGATTCTCACAGGATTGTTATTATCTCTGTTTTACAGTACATTTTACAGTAGGACAATGGGTGTAAAAAACTTTTTTCTTAGAGTTGATATAATTTAAATCCAGGTGAAAAAATCCCCTATTGTTGGGAGGTTCTCTAAATTTTTCCTCTTTGGAGAAGTACATGGCATTGTACTAATTACAAGTTCTAAATTGCTATAAAGCTACATTAGGTAAATCCACAGCAATACAAAAGATTGACCTAACTATCCATATGGGAAAAGCAAGAGGAATGAAAAGGGTATATTGGAAAAACTATAACATACTACTTCATAGGAACTCGCTGAGTTGGTACCTCAAAACTGGTGAGTGTATAGATGAATATCCTGGGCGAGTGCTACGCTTGGATAATGAGATTGGTCTAGAACTGAATTAGATAAATTTTCAAATAAGAGTAAATATGGGTATGATCAGTGATTTTTATTGATATAGGATACTGCTACTTGAGGAAACTCTAATAATGCAGGTCATTAGTTGCAATTTATAGTTTTAAAGCTTTGCCTAAAGCACTGAAAGGTTGTGACTTTTCCAGTCTCACAACTTTTGTGTATTAGAGGAAGGAGTCAAACCTAGGTTTTCCTGGTTTTGAGACTATCTATCCATTATAGATATCCATTTAGATGAAGCTGTTACTTGAAAGACACACCTAACCACAGATTAGAACTATGCTGAAAATGCTAAGAATCATTTTTTCCTTTCAGTTTTAAAGATTTCACGTAGGTGATGGAGTACAGAACTTGAAGTCAGGAAATTCCAGATCCAGGTCATGCAATTGACCCTTAGCTGTGTAACCATGAGCAACTTGCTTAACCTGTCTGAACCTCAATATCCTTAGCTATAAAATAGTGATAATACCTTACCTACCTGATAGTACCTACCTTAGAGAATTGTGAGGGTTAAATGAGGTAGTGTGTATAAAGTACTTTGCAGATCTTAAAGCATTATGTAAATCTCAGCTGTTACAATCATTAGAAGGATATTTTGGTATTAGCATTTAAACTTTGCTGTAGCTGTACATTAAAGCAGGTCGTTTAGATGGCACATTTAAAAGGAAATTTCTTTATTAGAAAGGTTGCCAATAATTAATTTGGATACAATATTTAGTTTTTCTTGAAATCTTTGAAAACACTTATTTGAAAATAAAAGTTTAAGTCTTGCTCTGTAGAAAAATGCATGAAGTTTTCTTAATGACAGTGTATGTAAAATAAGTAAATGATAATTCTGTTTTTGCTCTAAAGGTTTAAGCCATAAATAAATGTCTTTTTCCTCCTCTCTTCAAAATTCCTGCAGGAAAGATTACTCTCCATGATTTAAAGAAATGTAAATTAGCAAATGTTTTTTTCGATACGTTTTTCAACATTGAGAAATATCTTGACCATGAACAGAAAGATCAGATTTCTGTAATTAGGGTAAGTGCGATGGAAATGTGTTATGTTACATATATACAAATGTCTGTATCATACTAAAATTGTCTGTGCTATTTAGGATGCTGAAAGTGAAGGCCAAGAACTCTCTGACTGGGAGAAATATGCTGCTGAAGAATATGATATTCTAGTGGCTGAAGAAGCAGCTGGTGATCAATGGAATGATGGGTAAGAACAGTGTTGTAAGGAGTTTTAGTAGAAGTAAAGTAGATAAATGTACTTCTTCAGGACTTATATATTAAAATGAAAGCAGCATAAAGTATGTAAAAAGCAGGTAAACTTTAGTTAAGTACCATTTAGATGAAGCTGTTTTTCTAAATTTGCTCATGTTCAAGTTGAATGTAATAAGGTAATATAGCCTTTTAATAAATGTGTCTCTTTAATTAAAATTGTAATCTATAGTATTTTGCCAAGCTCCAAGTTACATTCATTTTAACCAAGCCATTATTTTCATCCTTCCTAGTTTCTCTTAAATATAGGAACTCAGCTAACATGTACATATATGTATTTCCATGCCTGTGTATCTAGTATATGAAGTTGATAGAAAAGCATCATAGCACTTGAAGTTGTTCTCCTAGGAAATTAGTCTTTAGAGAAACCAATTTATTGCTTTGTAACATCCTATGCTGCCTTCTCTTCTTCTTGACCCAGTTCAGTTTCAACCACTCTGGCTACTTTTGCTAATTGATATAGGCAAGATTAGTATGCTCTGATCTATATGAAACAAAATTGGTAGCTCAGCCATAGTTAATGAATGCCCAAATTAAAATGATTTTTTAAAAGAATCAGTACTTTTAAAGAATGTTGCTTCTTAAGGCAACCAACCATCCGTACTAAAGGGAGTCCCTGTGATAGATTTTCCTTCAACTGCCACTCAAGACCACTCATTCCTCTTTGTAATAAGCACTTTTGTGTTTGATAAGTCTGTAGTGCTTCTGAAGTGCTGGTGTTTATAAAATGAAAAGAAAAAGTTGAAGAATTTCAATGTCTAAAGCATGAGGTTTAGTTTTTGCCTGTTGGAGCAGTATTCAAGTCATCAGCATCTTCCAGTTTGAATCTAAAATATATAAGATTTCTACAAATGATATAGACTTGCTCTAATAAATAGTATGTTCATTTAATATCATATGGAAATTGTTTTTGAAGGTTTTTATATTTCCTTCTGTACCAAATGTTGACCTTTTCCTGAAAATGGGGACAACATATGCATAGCTCTTCTCAGGCTATGTCATCTCTAGTATTTGCCAAAGGCACATATCTTTGGAACAGTTATCCCTTGTGTGAGCAGGCTGAGTCTTCCAACCTCTCTCCCATCCTGGACATGTACCGATTCATATCATCTCCTAGAAAAAACAAAGAAATAGTACATCAATCTTTGTCCATCACTGTGCCAAAGTAGGAGGGGTGAACAGAAGCAACATTTATTAAAGTGACATGTAGGCTTATCCTGAGAGAAACAGGCTTCTCTGTAGTACACAGTACAGGGACAAGGGAAAAAAAAACCCAAGCCCATTGTATATTGGGGAATAATTGAGGGTTGGGGAAGGGTTACTAGTAAGATCTAAAGCCTCCCTCTACTTCTATATGTATGCTGGTATTTAGGAATTTTAACAATTAGAAGTTGAGTCTTTATATCTCTTACTTCCATTTTTAAAAAGTAAGAACAAGTTCATATTCATTATTAAAAATTTTTTTGAATTATTTTAAAAATAATGTACTGAAGTAGCAAAACACTGACATTCCTTCTGTAACCATTGTAGGGATTCTGACTTCTCTGACTACTAGCCTGCACAAAGGTCTAGAGTAAGGAATTACTCAGGTAAGGGTATGTTTGCTGGCAAAGAAAAATTTACTGACTTAGGTCTGCATGTTATCTGAAATAGTGTATAATCCTGAATCCAGAAATAATAACTTTTAATGTCCACTATTACACCATTATCTCTGGATCACTAACTTTCCACTTTGTGGAATCTACAGAAAATAATCCTAACAATGTCTTCTAAAAGCTTTACATAGATAGTTTTCCTATGGAGTCTTCAGGTTCAGCTATTTTAATATTTCTTTGCTATGTAATTTTATCTCTGACCTCAAACCAGAAAAATCTTAGAATCTGTCCTGCTTCAAATAGGTTAACTTTCCCAAAATAAACTACAGTAGAGGGTTTGTTTAGTGTAGTAGTATTTCAGTGTTGCAGTATTTTGGATTGATATATATATGCATCTTTGTCATGTCTCATTGAAGCTATCAGCATTGTTAATGAGATTCCATTCAAGGGTCTTCCAAGAGTCAAGCCAATATAGCTTAATAACTGTTAAAATTCTGAGTTAATTAATCAGTCTGTAAATAAAGAATAAGTACAGGTTCAAATCTCCATTATATTACTATATATGACAAAATTGTTCCCATAGAAGAAAGTCATTAGTATAACATTGCTGACCTGGCTATATAACAAATTGTCCACAATGAATAATCCTATATATAAGAAATACTCATTTGGTTCCCTGGCTGTACAATAGCTACTTTATATCAAAACTCTTGATGCTAATTGCATTTAAGGCAGAATGGGGTGATAACAAAAATGAGCTGTGGCTATACTATTCATAGATCTATTATTTTGTCATAAGGCATTCCTGACCCTTTAGCTGATCTCCTATTTATCCCTAACAACAATAAAGTATACCTAAACTTTAAAATAACAATTCAAAACAATGAAGCACATTGAGACAAATTAAGTAATATAAAATGGGAAAGAGATTTCAAGCAAATGTAGAAAGCATGACTTATTTTTAATAATATACTTAGCATTAAGAAAGTCATTTAATGGGGGGAGAAGGGCAGGTTTTGAGTCATAATCACCTCTTAATAAAAGACCATATTGTAATTTCCTTTTTTGGAGATTTTAAAGACAGCTGAGACAGTTTAAATAGGAGGTAGACTCAGTATTTCAGCATCTTTTTCAAAAACTATGACGATGGAATGCATAGAGAGGAATAGTGTATAAGGTGGCTGTAAAGATAGGAAGGGCCAGTTTGTGAGGAACTTCAAATGTCAAACAGAATTTATATTTGACCTTGGAGGTAATAAGTAACTGCTGGAGTTCACTGAATTAGGGGATTAGAAGGAGTAAGACCTGTCCTTTAGAGAAGTCACTTTGGAGGCTGTGTGGATTAGAGTCAGCAAAAACTTACAGTATAGACAGCAATTAAGCTAATGTATAATATAAGCAAAAAAGGATAAGGACTTACACTAGGGTTGAGATTTTGAGTGAAAAGTAGGGGAGATACTTCAGACATATTATAATGGAAACAAGATTGGGAACTGATTGGATATGTAGGGTGAGAGTGAAGAGTCAGGCAGAATCCAAGGTTGTGAATGTGAGTGACTGAAAGGATGATGGTATATCCATTGAGTGTGAGATAGTTCAGTGACCATTTTGAAGTGTCCAATCCTAACCATGTACTCTGATCCAGTGACACTGGCCTCTTCACATCTCCTCATTGCATTTTCACGGGTTATCTCCTATGCCTGGAATTCTCTTCCTCCTCATCTCCTGCTTTCCCTGGCTTTGTTCAAGCCCCAAATAAAATTCCACAAGAAGCCTTCTCTGATCCTCCTTAATGCTATGCTAGTGGCTCTCCTCTATTGATTTTTTATAGTTTATTTTGCATATATTTTATTTCTGCAAAATTGTTTGCGTGTTACCTCCCTGTACTAAATTGTGGGTTCCTTGAGAATAGGAACTATTTTGTTCTTAGGGTTTTCTTTGCAGGGGGTGGGGGGAGCAGTGTTGTTTTGCCTTTCTTTTATCCCTAGCACAGTGCTTGGCATATAGTAGATGTTTAATAAGTGCTTCTTGACTTGGCACTAGAGCTAAGGAGAGACAGACTATGGCTGGGTTATATATCTTGCAGTCATTTCCATAGGATGTAAATTGAATTCATGAAAACTTATGAGGTAGCCAGGTGAAAGAGTATAGTGAGGAAAAATAAAAAGGTCCAGGACAAAGCCTTAGTGTATACTCACTGTGAGTATGATATGGACACTGAACCCTCAAAGGAGACTGAGGAATAGTTGGGCAGGTAGAAGAACTAGGAGAACAATGTTGTGAAAATCTGGAGAATATCTAGGAGAGAGTGGTCACTAGTGTCAGATTCTGGAGAGAAGTTAAGAAGAATGATAATTGAGAAGAGGCCATTAGCTTTGGGAATTAAGAGGTCGTTGGGAGGAGACTTCCCAGGCACATGAGCAACAAGGTGAAGAACTAGACATTTTTTTCTTATCCCCATGACCTCTCAAACCTCTCCAAAACAGAAAAGATAAAAGCAAAGATAAAGCAACTTCAGCTGTCTCCAGGGTCTAGGACACCCAGAATCCAAATTTTTAAAAAACAATACAAACCTGTGAATTCACACTCAGCACCCCTCCCCTACTTCCCTCACTCCTGGCCATGAGGCTGCACTAGCAGATCCAAGGATCCAAAACAGGTTTACAACAACTCCCCTCTCCCTCCACTTTCCTTTCCAGTGCCATGCATGAAGACCCTCAGCTCTAGGCTGAGGAAGTTTGCCCAGGCCAGAGTAGAATTTAATGGCCATATAGCAAAAAATTGGCATAAGAGAAAAACTGGAATCTTCAATGACAAATTCACCCAAAGAAACAAAGAAAAAATAGATTGGTAATGCAAGTTTATATAAGTAAAGGACAGTCTAGAAGAAGAGAAGCAAAAACCGATAACATTAAAAGAAAATAGGCTCATGCTACAAGCAGAACATACTAATCTCAAAGATAGGGTGTGTAGAGGACAACCTAAGGATCATAGATCTCCAAAAATATGACAGGACGAAAAAATCTTAACAACATATAATGCAAGAAATATTAGAAGAATACTACTACCCAGAACTTCCTACACATAGAAAATGAAATATCACTTGAAAGAATTCACAGATCAACGCCAGAAAAAAATCCCGCAAATTCAGCAAAATTCAAGACATATGATGATTAAATTTAACAGTTCAGTTCAGAAACAATAAGTTCTTCAGGCAACCAGGAGAAATATCTTCAAAGACCAAGGAAATGAAATTCAAATGACACAAGACTATTCTGCACCCAGTAGAAAATCCAGGAGGGAACAGAATATTGAGGAAGAGCAATGGAACTCAGGATGCAGC